CAGCGCCCGCCAGTCTCCCGCCTCGCCTCGCCTCGCCTCGCCTCGCCTCCGCCCTCGCCTCCCCTCGCCTCGCCTCGCCCCCCCCCTCACCACCGACGAGTGCGCGGCGCGCTGCCAGGCGCCGATGATGACGTTGATCGCGGGCGGCGTCTTCGAGCAAGGCGCAGCCTCTGCCCTCGACCACCACCTCGGCTACCCTGTCGACTGGTCGGCAGTCACGGAGCGCTGCAATGGTGAGTCAGGCTTCATCTGCCTCAAGCACATCGCGCTGCTCACGACGCGCGTGCCCGACGTCTTCGCCGCCGAGTACAAGCACTTTTACTGCAAGTACAACGAGCCCTCCTGCGTCAAGCTGCTCAAGCTCGACATCCTCACCGCCGTGGCGACGCAGGCGACAGACGCCGCACCCTCCCGACAGCGCGGGGCAGGCCCACCCGACTCGAGCCGACCGAGGCCGCCGCCCGAGCAGGCGACCGTGCCCGAGATCGTGGACGAGATTGCAGAGTACATCACAGAGCCGGACGCCAACGTCGCGCGCGCCGCCGTCGCCGCCATCGGCAAGCTGGGTGTGCGCGTGCCGGAGTGCGGCGGCGGCGTGGTGCGCGGGCGGCGTGGCGCGCGGCGGCCGCGAGACGCCCGCGCGCCCGAGACGCGCCGAGGTTTGTGCGACTAGGTGGAGCAGCTCCTCAAGTTGCTCGAGGTCAAACCGCGTCTGTCCGTGCAGAACGTGTGGGAGCATGTACAGCGTCTCTTCACACGCGCAGCCGTGAACAGGTCGACATCGACCACGTCTCCGCGGAGGCCATCATCGCGATGAAGAACTTGCTGCGAAAGTTCCCCGACCGGATCGAGCGCTTCATCGGCGCCGTCGGCGCCGGGCTCTGCGCCACCCGACCGGTGCAGCCGAGCCTCAGCCGGGGCGGGACGGGGCTTAGGCGGCATCGGCACCTTCTTCCGCAACATCGACGAGCCGGACGCCAAGGTGGCGCTGCTGTGGATGGTCGGCGAGTACGGCCACGTCATCCCCGAGGCGCACCCACTCGAGCACACACACACACACACACACACACACACACACACACACACACACACACACACACACACACACACACGCACGCACGCACGCACGCACGCAGACACACCACACACACACACCTCACACGCACACCACACACGCAGACACCACACACACGCACACGCGCACCCCCCCCCCCCTCTAAACACCCTCTGGGCGCGGGGGCAGGCGCCCTACCTGCTGGAGCCCCTCATCGACAACTTCCCCGAGGAGACGTCGCAGGCCGTCTGACTCTCGATGCTCGGAGGAGGCTGTGGTCTCCTCTTCACACCGCCCGCTGTGAACACAGGCCGTCCGGCTCGAGCTGCTCGCCGCCACGGTCCGCCTCTTCTTCCGCCGCCCCGCCGAGCTCCAGCAGATGCTCGGCCGCCTCCTCGACGCCGCCATCGCCGACGCCTCCTTCACCGACGTGCACGACCGCGCGATGCTCTACTATCGGCTGCTGCAGCTCGACCCTCGGGCGGCGGGGCGACCCGTCCGGCCCCAACAAGCTAAATAAGCGATTTTCATGGGGGGCCTGATTATTTTAACCCGCCCCAAGTACCCCCTTTTAAGGGGGGGACTCTTGCCCGCTTGAAGCCATTGGTACGGGGGCAGTTTTGGGGAGGAA